CAGCCCAGGCTTGCATCGGGCTGCTGGGCATAGAACATGGCTGGGCATCCCGATGTCTGCTCTGGTGTCCGTGGCACTGGCAGAGGCCACGTCTGTCCCTGCCATTAGCTCTGCCGAAGCAACCGGAGGCTTTTTTTCCCTCAATTTGCTTAGTTTTCTAGCGAGGTTACGGTCCTCCGGTGTGGGTGGATGAGACATGAAGTCAGGCTAATTATTTGGTAATGGATTCCTTTCCTCTGAAAGCATGTTTCTTGTTCCTCACCTTCGTGAAAAGGCTGCCATGAAAGGGTGTTAATGACAGATCTGAATAGGTAATTTGGTAGAGGAAAATAACTACCAAGGAGCAAAGTCCAAACCTGGTTCCTTTTGTACGTGCAAAGATTCTCCCAGCCCCTTGGATTAATAATGCCGCCGAAGGCACATTAACCAGCAGAGTGAAAGTTGACCTGTTGATGGACTTCCCGATCTCCTAACGACTTGAGCAGTGGGGAGTTAAGCCGTAGCTGAGCACTGCGGTGTTTTGAGTCCTTAGTCATCCAGCGTGACAGGTGCCGTGCGAGGGACAGAGTCGGCTCACCACTCAGAGCAGTAAATTAAAACCAGTCCTGGTCCTGCTCATGTGCCCGCAGCCCCTGGGAACGGACCTGGCCGGGCACGGGGCACCACCTGCGGCACAGCAAACTCGCTGGCTGAGCGAGCACGAGTTGCCCCCACCGCGGTGGTGAGTAATCCCCTCGTAGCCTTGGCGCTTTGCGGGAGGTGAACACCCGCTCTCCTCCCCGCTGCGCCGCCGGGGTGAAGCGTTCACGTGCCGAGAGCCGACGGGCTCGGCCCCGCATCTGGCTGCTGGTGCAGAGCAGAGATCCGGTGCGTTTGGGCAAGGGTGAGGAGGGCTGAGGCTCTGGGGCAGCTCTCATCCCCCGCTTTGCTTTTCAAACCTTTCCTCCCCCTCTCCGCAGTATCAGTGGTTTTAAAGTGATTCTGCGCGGGCTGGCACTGCCAGCTGGGGAGTAGTTAAAACCGAAGCTGCAGAAAACACTTTGTCTTTTTCTTCTGCGCTACTACTCTTGTTGTTGACCGAGCGCCTGCAGTTGGCTGAAGCTCGCTGGTGTTTTCAGTTGCATAAACTTGGTTTCCTTATAAACGCTCCTACGCTGTAAGAGCTTTTATCACACTTCAGTTGGAACCAGCCCGGCTGCCCAGGCCTTCCCCGGGCACCCCCGCAGTGCCATCAGGCAGTGGCAGCGGCGGGGGGCCCCGCCCCTGCTCCATCACCCTGCAGCCCTACCTGTGGGTTGGCAGCTTCAGCGAGCCCCGCTTGCCTCCTAAATCACCCGTTTCTTAGAGGGGAACTGTACCCAGGCTTGGACTGGCAGTGACAGACCCAGCCTGGGCAGAGCCTTTTTGCCTTCTTTGGCTTTTCGGGGCTCCGCTGGTGTTAATTCTCAGTCTAACGAGGATTAGTCTTGGGAGTGTTTACTGTAATCGGAGTTAATGGTGTTCTGGCTTCAGCTTTTCCCTGCGTGTAAACGGGGAACTTTTAGCAACATCCCTGACACTGGTTAAGAGCAAGCAGCTAAACCAAATATGAAAAAGTCTGACTAAAAATAGAAGGGAAGTAAAGAACGAGCAAAGCATAAAGAAAGTTTTTATTTTTTTTCCCCCTCCAACTTGGCAAAACCTCTGCTGCTCGTGACTCCAACATGTTTTCCTCCCATGTCTTGGTGTGACCCGGTGAGGCAGCTTTGTCGGCAGGTGGGTGCTGGTGCTCTCACCAAAAGGCACCCGTGGGCGATGAGCGCCATGATCCTGGAGGGGGGGTCCACAGCCCCCAGGCATGGTTTGCAGCCTCAGCCCCGCAGGAGCTGCCCCTACAGCAAGGGGAGCCGGTGCCACTTTGGATGCTGTCCCTGGACACAGCGGGGCCGTCGCTGCTCCTGCAGCCCATGCCTCCCCTCCCCGTGGCGGCTGGCTCTCGAAAGCAAGGTCTGGGAAACACCTGGGAGCCAAAAACGTGCTCGCCTTTGGTTTTCCATGTGCTCGTGAGGAATTGGTGAACGTCTCCTGGAGCAACTGGAAATGCTGGGGAGCTCCTGGGCTTATTGCCTGGCTCTGCTCTCGCCCACTCCCCAGGAGGAGCAGAGTTGTTGGAGGTGCCAAAGGCCAAAGCTGGCTCTTGAGGGGGACCAGGCGGGCTGGCCGGGCATCCAGGGCTGTTGTCCTGTCCATGGCATGGAGGAAAATGGATCCTCGGTGATGCCGGGAGGATTTTGTGTGTGGGAAGGCATTTAAAAATCTGTTGCTGGGGTTAAAAAAACCTCTTGAGCAGCTTTTAACTGACTGCCTACAGTCTGCAGGTGCCAAGAACTTTCTCGATACTGTGACTCGCTGCCTCCCCAGCCACCACCTCATCTGCCTGCGATCCGAGCCCCGCTCCTGCCTCCCTGCCCGCTCCAAGCCAGGGACGTGTGTTGTGCAGCTGCCTTGCCGTGGCAATCACTGGAATCAACACCTCCTCCTTCCCCTGAGCCTGGCTGGGGGTTGCCGATCGGGAAGCTCCTGTCTAACCGTGAGAGGTGAAGCAGGGTCCGGACGCAGGCAGCGAGGGCCGGGAGCCATCCCGCAGGCAGGAGGACAGGCAGCCCGACGGGTTGCAGATCTGCTTCCTCGCTAAGTCAGTGGTGTCTGAGCAAACTAGAAACTGGAGAGGAGTTGGGGGGATGGCAGCGAGCAGCCTCGTTACCCAGCCGTGGGTGCTGTGGTGGAGACCGAGGGATGTTACCGTTTGCTCTGCCCTCGGAAATAGCCGATGGGCTTTTGTTGCTGTGCACGCTCATGTGCATCGAGTGTGGTCACTGAGCCTGTAGCCACACGTGCGCTGCTTCCTCCGCTGATTGCGTTTTCCCTTAGAAAGCGGTGGTCTCCAGACCAGACCGTGATGCCGTGGGTGCGTGTGCGGCTGCACTGACACAGGGACAGGCCAGCACGTCCCCGTCTCGGCAGACTGGATGTGGCAGGGACGCTCCAACTCCTGCTATTTCCCTCTCTCACACGCAGGGCGAGCACTCTGGAAGACGCGATGTCGGATAAAGGAAGCAGTATGGACGGGAAGACGGACATAGTGAACGGTAAGGGTACCAGCGGGGACTGGTCTCCCCACACCTGGGGTCTCCTGCTGGGGAGGCTCACGGCATTGTCTGCACCATGCAGGCAGCTTGTCCAGCAGCCCAGAGGAGATGTCGGCTGAGGAGGGCCGAGAAACCTCCTCTGGCATCGAGGTGGAGGCCTCCGACCTCAGCCTGAGCCTCACGGGAGACGACGTGGGGCCCAACCGCACCAGCACGGAGAGCCGGGACACGGACACGGAGAGCTCAGGGGAAGAGAAGGACTCTGACAGCATGGACGACACGGGCCACTACTCCATAAACGAGGAGAACCGTGCCCTTGACCGGTCGCACTCGGAGGAGGAAGAGGAGGACGACGAAGAGGAGGAGCAGCGGTCCCACCGCCGTGCCCAGCGCAAGCGTGCCAACCATGACCAAGACTCCTCTGATGACGAGCAGGCCCTGGAGGACTGGGTGTCCTCGGAGACCACGGCGCTGCCCCAGCCCCGCTGGCAGGCGGTCCATGCCCTCCGGGAAAGGGAGCTGGGCTCCAGCGCCCGCTTCGTCTACGAGGCCTGCGGGGCCAGAGTCTTCGTGCAACGTTTCCGCCTCCAGCACGGCCTGGAGGGCCACACGGGCTGCGTCAACACCCTGCACTTTAACCAACGCGGCACATGGCTGGCCAGCGGCAGCGACGACCTCAAAGTGGTGGTGTGGGACTGGGTTAGGAGGCAGCCGGTGCTGGAGTTCGAGAGCGGTCACAAGAGCAACGTCTTCCAGGTGAGGAGGGTGTTGGGGGCGGTCCTGGCAGGTGAGCTGTGTCGTGCTCTGATCTTTCTGGGCTGGGGGTGATAGAAGATCCTCCACAGTGGACAGGTGCCTGCTCTAGATGCACACAATTTCAGCTGGATGATGCTGTGTGTGGCAGGAGCCATGTGCAGAGGAGGCTGTGCTGTGCCGGGCTGTGCAGCGGCTCTGCTACCGCAGAGATCCGGGCTCTGCCATGCCACAGCCCGCTCTTGGAGGGACACTGGCACTACCAGCATCTCCACCAGGTCCCGGCTCTCCGTGCTTGCCAGAAAGGGCAGGGATGATTGCTTGGGGAGCACGACCCATCGAGCTGGGGCTTTGCAGTCGCTGCCTGCAGATCTGAGCGTCCGGGACTCGTTGGAGTCTGGCAGGGGTGCTGCCCTCTATTTCTCTCCTATTTCACCCCGTTTCCATCCACACGTACGCAAGCCCCTGCCCTGGTGTTGAAAACCGCCCTTCCGCTTGCTCTCTTCCAGGCCAAGTTCCTCCCCAACAGCGGCGACTCCACCCTGGCCATGTGTGCTCGAGACGGCCAGGTCCGGGTGGCCGAGCTCTCCGCCACCCAGTGCTGCAAAAACACCAAGCGCGTGGCACAGCACAAAGGAGCTTCGCACAAGGTGAGCCCAGACCAGCCCACGGAGGGGGCGGGCGGCAGCTGGGGACCCCTGAAACACCCAGGGGCCATCCTGGCCCACCAGTTGCCAGAAATAGCAAAGGCAGAGCCGCTGCCTTGGAGAGACCGATTCTTAAAATGCTTCTTGATAATCGCTGTCACCTCTGAGGGTGATGAGGAGGGTCTTGGTGCCCTGCAAAGCAGTGACATGAGCACACGGCTGTGGGGTATAGAGGGCTTGGTGCTGCCTTGGCTCCTGCTGATCGCCGATGGTTTACTGGGAGAAAGGGGTCTTGCCACTTTGTTGGGTAAAAAGGGAACCAATGCCCGAGTATTTATCTTCCAGCTGGCCCTAGAACCGGATTCTCCATGCACTTTCCTATCAGCAGGTGAAGATGCTGTAGTCTTCACCATTGATCTGAGACAAGACCGGCCCGCCTCGTGAGTATTTCTCTACCTGCTCCTGTTGCCAGGACCAGCAAAGCTCTGCGGGGAGATCTGGGGTCTCAGGGGGGCTCCCCTGCGAGCGGACAGTGCTTGGCTGCATAGGGCTGAGGGTCACACTTGTGCCACTGCGTTTTCGCAGCGGTGCGTGCCTGTTCAGTGGGCATAAAGTGGGAAACCAGATTTTTTTTTGGCTTTCAAGCAGTGGTGTTTTCCCTGAGGTGCAGGGTCAGACCAGAGAGCTTTTCGGTGGCTGGACGGGGCTGGCCGTCTCGAGTGAGGATATGGATATGAACTTTGCTAATTAGACAAGTGCATTTGAATCCTCAAATCCTCATCCTCCCCGGGATAGGGCCCTGTTCAGGTAGGAGACAAAAAATAACACCCATGCGGCAGGTCCCTGTGGGGGAGTGCCTGCCGCGGCAGCTGCCAAAGGCTGCCCGTCCGGCACCCGTTTACCCATCCCAGGGGCAGCGCTGAGGGTCCTGCGCTCCTTCTGCGCAGTGAAGTGGCTGATTAATCACAGCGCTGAAATCTCTCCACGCTGGCAGCAGCTCAGAGCTCGAGGTTCGCCTGACTCGCTCGTCGCATGAGCGCTATTGCAGTTAATTGAAAAACAATAATTAGCAAGCAGCCGGGTGGTGCGTGCTGGATCTTAACCCGTACTGCCGAGAGATCTGTCGTTTCTGACAAGCTTCCAAAATAAATCCGTGGCGGGTGTTCAAACAGACGCCTGGTTTTGGTATGGTGGTACTTTTCCAATATAGCAGCATATTATTTTGAAGATGATCCTGCTTAAAACCGAGGGCTTCGGCGCTCGTCTCCTGGTGGTTTGGTTTTATTTGTATGTGCGAGTGCTTTTGTCTACAGCCTTAAACCCATCTGTTTCATAACCAGGACAAAAACTGCCAGGGCGTTTCAAAACAGCCGCATTTAATCCTCATCCCCGCCTCCCCCCGTGTTTGTGGGTCTGTTTGGAAGGGAGTCTGTTGGTCAGTAGGCTGGCATGGGTCTGTCCCTCCTTTCTTCCTGGGGGGATCCACATTGCTGTTTGGGTTTGATGCTCGCAGGGAATTGTCACCCTCTGAGTGTGAAACCGCTCTGGAGGCAAGGTTCGCAGGCAGACTGTAGGCAGCTCCCATCTTTCATTAAGCCGCACGGTATAATTAGAAGAAAGACAAGCTTTTGAGCTGACTGTTCCTTCTTGAGGATGCTGCCTCCGTTTGTATTCGTGTCTGCAAAGCTGAAATATTGAGCTCCTGGGAGAGGGGAGGATGGTGTGTGTGTCGGATTTTGTTAAATCTGGGCTTTATTACAGTGAGGGGGGTGAGGAAAAATAACAGCAAAGCATTTCTGCTCTGGAGTTAATCTGATTCTGCCCTCACCACTGCCTGTCCTGCTCTGTCGGGCTCGAGTTTGGGCCCTGAAACCCTTCAGACATTTCGGAGGAAAACGCCAGGGAGTGATTTCACTCTGCGCTGTTTGAGTCTCAGACAGAACATGTGCTCGCTTCAGCTGGGAGGCTGAAATGGTTGGGTGGTGTTTTTTTTTGTTGTCAGTGTGATTTTTTTTTTTTTTTCTGGGAGTGAGTAAGAGACTCGCGCAGCTCCTGCTTTTCCCATCTGGACCCTGTTTTGAATTCGAGGTGGATTTTTTGTTTGTTTTGTTGTTATTATTCCTCATCTCTTAAAGGAAACTGGTTGTGACAAAGGAAAAGGAGAAGAAAGTGGGTCTGTACACCATCTACGTGAACCCAGCCAACACCTACCAGTTTGCTGTGGGAGGCAGAGATCAGTTTGTCAGGTGAGTCTGTGCTGGCAGCCCAGACTGAGCCCCCAAAATGGACCTGAACATCCCTGTGAGGGCTCAGTTGGTGCCCCTGCGAGCTCTGAAATCTGATGTCCCCTGCAGAAACGCTTGTAGCTTCAATCGTTAATGCCTCCAAAGCCTGTTCTCCCATAACAGCAGGAACACAAGGGGGATTAATAGAGGAGGATTTGGATGCTTTGAGGTTTAGCCCTGGGATCCACTGCCCAGCCTGCCCTGAAGCCAGGAGATCGTTCCCTCAGGAGTCAGCAATGCTCTTAACGAGCTTCTCATAAATCTCCTCTCGATCCCCCTGCTGTGGGCAGTGCCCGGTCGGCATCAGAGATGAGATTAAGGCTTGGGGATGGTCTTGGTCTCAGTGGGACTGAGCTCCTTAAGCGACAAATGCGAGCCCCCGCGGCCTTCGAAACACTCGGGGTGGGACCAGGCTGTGTCCGTGCGTCTGGCCGTTCGGCTCCTTGTGTCAGTGCAGAGGTCCCCCACAGCTGGTGGATTTTAAGGTGCCACTTGTGTAGCCTCTCTTTTGGGCAGAGGCGAATCGTGCATGCCCCAAGCCCGCCTGCTTCCCAGCTCCCCGAGAGCGAGCAGAGCCGCAGCGTCGCTTGGCTCCCCGAGGATGCTCGGGGGCCGCTCCTTGGGGAGCGGGGGGAACGCCGCAGCCCTGGCGCTGGGATCGCTTGCGTGGCGTCAGCTCCCCGGAGTGCCAGTCGTGCGGGTGTCTGGTGTGCAGGCAGCAGCTCCTGGGGTGCCGGGCATGGAAACACTTAACACATGGCCTCACAGACTGCTCAAACGGCAGCGCCGGTGCCTTGGTAGATTTCAGAAGAGCCCAGGATCGTTGCTCAAAACACAGCCTCCACTGCTTCCCGCTCTCCTGTCCTCTGCCTGTATCCACTTGCCTCCTCTCCCCGGGTTTCCCCAGCACTGGGTAGCTCCTGGTGGGCTCCCACATCCGGGGGGCTCAGGGAGTTTGGGGACCCCAAGGAGCCCAAACCGGCCAAGGGACAGGCACGGTGGTGGTCACATCCCCCTCGCAAAAGCAGTCTGCATGCTGATAGAGCCCTTAATGCAGGTCACAGCCCGTGTGGGCGCAGGCTTGGACGTTGTCACACGCCACCAAGCAACACCTCTGGCATGATGAGAGGTGACATTAAGCTGCTTTGGATGCGACTTCTGC